GCTAGAAGACCCTTCTCTGGGGAATCTGCACATTCTACGAGGAAAGCCCCAAAGACACTGACAGGAGGGGTCCCTGAGAAAGGCCCAGCCAGCCCACCATCTAGTGAGGACCATAGACAACAAGCCACACCCAGCAGGCCCACTTTCCAATCAGCTTTTGAGGGTTCAACCAAGTTTCCACTTTTAATCAGAATCTAACGACTCAAGAACACCAGACATCTGAGAGAACCCTCAAATGTGAAAAACAACATGAAAACAAAGAGAAGAACAACTTCAAGAAAACAGAGACTTTCTTCTAAAGGGAAAAAAACAATTTTTAACTGTAATTAATATCCTACTTAACAAAAACCACTAAAATGAAAACTCTCAAAAAGATAAGTATTACATTCATGAAATTAAAACATTATATTAAAATTAAAGAAATATTCAAGAGAACAAAAAAAAGATAACTTGGAAATTAGACTAGTGACATTAAGATGATTTTCACAGTATTAAAAAATCAAGTTGAAGATATTATCCAGAAAATAGAGCAAAAGACAAAGAGATGGAAAATAGGACAGAAAAACTAGTAAAAACTAGAAGACCAGCCTAGGTGACCCAATATCCAAATAACAGGAGTTCTAAGAAAGGAAGAAATCATCAGTGGAATATTTGAAGAACGTCTCTGAGCGCTGAGTGACATGAGTGTCCAGATTGAAAGGGTCCACCAAATGTCCAACACTGAATGAAAGTACAACTATGTACCAAGCCTGTCATCGTGACATCTCAGAACACTTGATGCTACTCAGGTTCTTGAAGGACTGGGGCACAGAACAGCTTCAGACAACACCACCAGGAGGCCAGGAGCCCATGGGTCGATTCCTTCAAACTTCTGAGGAAAAGTGATCTTAATCTAGAATTCTATAAGCATCTGTTCTGGTTATCTCTTGTTGGGTAACAAAGTCCTCCAGAATTTAGTAGCTTAAGACAAGCCATCTTCATATCTCACAGTTTGGGGGGTCAGGCACTGAGGCAGAGCTTGGCTGGCCAAGTCCTCCTCTCCATGTGACACTGACCATGGACACTTGATGCTCTTCACTTAGTGCTGGGCTGGAGGGGCCAAGGCGGCTTCACTCATGTGAAGGGGTGCCTGGGAAGGGGTGACTAGAAGGCTGCGTTTAGCTGGGTCCATCTTCCTTTCTGGGTAGGGCTTTTTTAAAAATAAACTTTAATTTTTAAGCAGTTTCAGGTTTACGGGAAAAAAAAAAGCAGAAAATACAGAAAGTTCCCATATACTCCCTCATCTCCTTCTGAATTCCACCAATTATTAACATCTTTCATTTGTTATAAATGAAGAGCCAACACTGATACATTATTCTAAACTAAAGTCCATAGTTTATATTAGGGTTTACTCTTTGCGTCATACATTCTGCGTTCTACAGGGTTTGATAAATGCATAAAGACATGTATCGACCATTACTGTGTCGTACAGATTCGTTTCACTGCCCTAAAAAGCCCCTGTGCTCTAGCCGTTAGTTCCCCGCTGCTTCCTCACAACCCTTAGAAATCACTGGTTTTTTTCTAACTGTCTCCATGTTTTGCCTTTTCCAGAATTAGATTGGCTTCTTTTACTTAGTAATGTGCATTTAAGCTTTCTCTGCGTCTTTTCATGGCTTGAAGGCTCATTTCCTTTTATTACTGAATAATAGTCCATTGTATGGATATACCACAGTTTGTTTATCTATTTACTTATTGAAGAACCTCTTGGTTCCTTCTACTGTAGGGCCTTTTTACATGGTGTCTCCAGCGAGATAGTCAGACTTTCTTAGGTAGTGGATCAGGGCTCCAAGAGACCAAAGTTGCCAGGTAGCTTAAAAACCAGGCCAAAACTGGTAGAGTGTCACCTCCATCATACCTTTGTGTCAAAGAAGTAACAAGACAGCCAATACCTAAGGGTAGGGGCGTTACAGATAGTGAGGCCATCTTAAATCTGCCACATCAGTCAGTGAGAGGCAGACTGATCACTCTGGAGGCCCATTTCCTCTTTCCACTTGGTACTTAGCAAGAAACTGATTCATCCTGTTTGGGACTCCTCCTTTTAACCAAAACCATTGCCTATCCCAGAAATCTGTTACTATTATTACACAGTGACTTACAAACACCAGAACCTGCTTTCCCTAAAAATACATAGGGTGTCCCAGATATGTCTAGTCCAGCTCTGCCCTAAGTCACCTTTCTGTGAGATAATGAGAGTTCAGGGACCGAGTGAACACTACTACTCCTTTACCTGAAAATTTTCCCAGCAAGTCCTGTTAACCCATTTATGTTTATACTTATGATGCAAGCTGTGTTTCTGGGCCCACCCTATACCTCACTGGCAATACCTCACCATCCTACTTACACCTCACCAAGTCAAAAAATAAAAACATTTCTGATATACAAATGCTAAAAAAAAAATAATGTTACTTCCTACACGTCCTTCAGACATTACTTTAAAGTACTCTCCATTAAAAACAAGAAAATTGTGGTCTTCCAGGAAATTGGGTGGAGGTGAAGAGAATCCGCAGGAGGAGGAGGAAGGGAGCTCTAAGGATCTCCGTTGCGCATCAGGGCAAGAGGGCAACATGTCCAGATCGAGCAGGTCAAGAGGCTCCAAGGGAGATTTCCACAAGAAGATGAAATTAATAAACCATCTGACATTCCAGAGCATATTGAAAGTTGACCAAACAACTGTAGAAGGAGTTAAGGGTGAATTGATAAATGCTTAGAAAATTAAGCAAAGAAACAAAAGGCAGCTGTTGACCCCAGGGAAATGACAGCATTATGAAGAGAAGAAAGGCAATCAGAGATCAGCTGTGAATAGCTAAATCCTCCTCTTGATGCTGGGAAATGAATAGATAATGTCAAAGACTGAAAGTCAAGAAGTAGCCTTATTTAGAGATAAGGAGGAAAATATGAAAAGACTCAGTCAAATAAGGTTGAACTTAATTGCCTCTGGGAATGGAGAAATGGGGAGGAATGAGAAGTGTGAATTGCTGTTTATCACTATAAGCCTTACAGACATAAATAGTTCAACTATTAGGTTCCATAAGGCGCACCACCTCGTCTTTGCTCACATTCACCCTTTCAACGAGGCCTGCTCTGA